ACCCACAGAATATAGTTATTTTCAAGAGCTTTCAGTTAAAATGGTTCCATAATTAAATGAAGCAAATCGCTGGCAGACATTGTCAAATATCCAATCATAGGACGCCATATTATTTACGGTTCAGAGGGGGGTATGTACGACGCAAGCTGTCTTTTTGTGCTGGTATATAATACTATGCGTCAGGAGCTCCATGAGGTCTCTTGAATTAGTACCAAAAGACAACTTTTCAGCCTCACTGAAGTTGTAACTGACTGCCTGTTTATGCATGTTTACGCACCCTCATCCCTTTTGTTCGCTGGTTTGATGCCCCTCAACTTCAACAGCTGCCTTTGGCGGACACCATTGTGTCCATGCCCATGTCAAATTTATATGCCGGGCGCACAACTGAACGAGACCTGCCAATAGGTTTTCACAACGATACCGCGTGTTGTCAGCTGACGAAACACGGACGAATGTGTTTGACACCTTCCGAAGATTACATCATGTCGGCACTCGAGTACAGATAGCATTCCTAACGCCAACATGACGCTTACAGCTTCCTCCACAGCTTTTGTCATGTTGACTGTCCACAGAGCACAAGTGTCTTGTTGATTGTCTCACATCGCGCAAGTATCTTGTTAGCTGCATCACAGCGTAAAAGTGTTTCGTTGATTGTCTCACAGCGTGAAGGGGCTTGCTGGTTGTCTCACAGGGTCAAGTGCCTTGCTTGTTGTCTCACAGCGTCAAGTGTCTTGCTTGTTGTCTCACAGTGTGCAAGTGTGAGGCACGGACGGACCCCAACTGTCTTGGTGTTATGGTGGCCCCCAGGGCGTGTGAATAGCGGCGCTTTCCTTGGATGTTTCTGAATTATCATACCTTGTGCGCAAACATTGAGCGAATCACACCCGCCCCTACCCCCGCCACCATCCCGTGCTTCTCGAAAACGCCAGTTCTGCCTGGAGCGTGAGGACGTGTCCTGTTGCGCAGACGGCTACCGCCGAGGATGGGGCGGGCGGTCAGCGCGACGGCGGGCCGCCGACGGCCGGTTCTTCTGTGACCCACATCTGACGGCGGCGGCGAACGGCGGGTCACGGTCGCGCCAGAGTCGCCGCCCGCCTGCCGACCAGGTCGCAGTCCAGCGCATGCCGGGGGCACAGCCGGGGCGCGGTGGCAACAGGTGACGACGCTTTGTGACGGACCTAGCTGCGCAAAATGAAACCATGAAACCACCCGCCGTCGAACTGTGATGTTGGCGGACATGTGCCAGGAGCAGCTGAATGTACTTCAGATTTCGTTACGTAACTTTTATGCGAATCGTGGTCCGTCGAGCACAATTGGTCACGTCACGCACATGGCTCGATCTATGTGCACGCGCTTGTTGCGTTGTCTTATGAAACTACGTCCAGTCATGAAGGGTCTGTATGAGCCCGACATAGCATATTGGACAGTCCACGAAACACTTTTATGGATCATTGTAGAGGTTTAGGATAGGGCAACTCGTTATCTCAGGTAGCATCGATTCAGGAATGAATCAATAGGATGCGACATGACTGAGCTGATAAGCGCAGAAAACGGCATGCTGTACGCACAGGCCTGCACTAGATAGCTGTTCCTTGTCATACGCCACACCGGAATACCGCCCAGGGATGCGTCGACAGCCACAGTACTTCTCTTCATGAACGTCTAATGGTCACGGAAGCCACGCACAATCAGTGCGTAGGAATTGAACACGCTCTGCTCTCGGAGTGTTGGGGATTCCGCGCAAGCTGTGGCAGGCTGATACGTCAACATTTCGACACAAATGTGTGAATTCGGCAAATGATGCCGAACAGGCATCCGGAGCCAACAGCCTGTGGGCCCCTGTCCCGAGAGAACAGATGTTATCGATTGAGGTCGCAGTGATTTCTTTCGGTTCTCCGAAGCCGTGCTCTGATCCCCCCCCCCCCCCCCAATTCCTCCTCCTTCGCCGAGCCTTCTTGTTCAAGTCTCTCCCAAACATGTGCATCAACATCAGAGGAGCAATGCTCTGCTCCAAAATGCCATCTTACAGTCTTTTCCATCTGGCTAGCCTGAAATCTAGCCTCCAAAAGCCCAGCGTGCTCTCAGACTGGCCTGGACCGCAGACACTTATTTAATTGCAAGGCGTATTGTTAAGGTTGTGTTAATTTGGGCCAGAACATGGAATGCACAGCAACATAACGATCAGAGTTCCGTAGTGAACGAATAACAAAAAAACACTGTATCACTTAGGCGGCCTTGGCATTACAAAAAAGACAACTTTTATGTGAACTTTGCAAAGGTAAACTTTAAATTTCACAGATCGCCTCTTATCATATGGTGAAAGCTGGGATGTCAGCTTCAAACGGGAAACTCTATGTCATGTTCAGGATGTATCCACCTGGCAGTTTCTGGAGCTGCATTCAATAATGTATTAGTGTCACACGCCCAACTCGAAGCTTCGCCAAAGTCTTGCTTTATGTGAGAGGCCATGACTGAAGCAGCGTGCCCGGAGGAAATCGCGGGGAAGAAAAAGTCGGACGCTTTGGTAGCATTTACTTTGAGATCTAATAGAACAGTGCTTCTGAAGTGTGTACGTAGGCATGTATTTACGTTCTCGAGGGTTGTATGCAAAATTTCATGAGTAAATGCAGGAACTCTGATATTGCCACTACCAGGCCTTTGGCAATTTTTGCACACATGGTAGGCCAAGAATTGCTTGAACGCATCAACCGGTGGGTGCCAGGCAGGTTACGACAGTGAGGGTCGAACTGTTCAGTTGTGCATTAAGTAAGTCATCGGGGTGCGCTCTATCATTACAAGAATCAAGAACAGTATGCCACTGTCTTTATATTAGGTACCCACCTTACTCCTGCGCAATCATATCAGGTTGAGCTTTGATAACATTGGCGCCTTGATATCTTCACACACCATTGTCCATTTTGCCTCAATTCCTTTGTTGATGCATTGTGTTTGGCATAGGATATCTGTTCATCATTGCCTTGCTAAAGAAAATGAAACACCATGCCCTCCATGTTTCATTTTGCGCATTTTTACATGAACTAAGCAAATGTGTACGTACGAATGCTCCCACCCACCTGTTACAGCTGTTTAACCCGCAAAACCACCAAATTTGACCCACGACTGTGCAAAAGGCCACTAAGTCTGACCTTCAATTCGGCAAAAATCCTGCTAACTCCGACTCGCAGCCTGGTAAAAAGCCTGCCAACTCTGACCCTCCACCTGGCAAAAATCCTGCTCACTCTGACACCCCACCTGGCAAAAATTTTGTCAATTCTGGCCCCCCACCTGGCAAAAATTTTGCTCACTCCGACCCCCGTCTGGCAAAAAGCCTGCGGACAAATGCTGGGTCAGATGTGGTGGGTATGCGGCTCAAAAAATTGCTTCTCTTATTCAGACCCATTACCATTAGGAAGTGTGTAAGATGCAGGAATTCTTTTGTTAGGTCTAATCGTGGAGAAAAGTTTGACCAGACCAATTTAACTGCAAACAGCTAACAAGCGATTTAGCGAAACAAAACCGCCTCTCCCACCCAAACCCAGATTGACCGGGACACGAAGAGAAACGTATTTTGGCGCCATGTACGGTTGTTCTGCATTACAGGGTATCAGTCAGAGCCCTCCCGCCAAGAAATTAGACAGAATGATCTGCGCACGAGGCGGCGGCAATTTGTGTTGAACGCCAGGTGGCGGCAACGCGACCTAGAAGTTATTGTTTTTCTTCAGAGGGGGCGTCTTTCTATGCCATACCTCAGGAACGACCACATCTAGCTGTAGTCGCGTGACATTTAAGGCTGTTGTTTTCATATCCCTGCGATGTGCTTTGGGTGATAAATATACTGAGCGCTTAGAACGGACGCATTGTTGAGAGCCACAGTGAGCATCAAACGCGTCAACCATTTCCTTTCCAAGTGTGTTTCTCTTATCGGTTACTGGCAGCAAAATGAAGTACTGCAACGTGCCCCTTTCAAACAACACGTTGATGCAAGGTCAATGAACGATCAATATAATGTTTTGCAGAACAAGACAGCATGCCACCATATATTTGACCTTAGCGGCTTGGCTATTCGTTTGAATTTGGCTCGTCGAACCTCAGCCCGAACCCAGCTGTGCGATGTTGTACAAGCTCCTTTGTTGTACGCTAGATGGCTCTACGGACGCGTGGTGATGGAGGGAGGAATCCAGTTAAAGTTGCATATGTTCCATGTCAGATCCCAGTCAACATGAAATGCAGGGAGCGCACAGCTCTGGCAGTGGCTCTGTCCGCACGCACGTCTCTTCGGCAATGGGTGATGCCAATTGTGACAAACCATGATGAAATGCGCGGATGAAGAGAGAGAGAGAGAGAGAGAGAGAGAGAGAGAGAGAGAGAGAGAGAGAGAGAGAGAGAGAGAGAGATATATATATATATATATATATATATATATATGTGTGTGTGTGTGTGTGTGTGTGTGTGTGTGTGTGTGTGTGTGTGTGTGTGTGTGTGTGTGTGTGTGTGTGTGTGTGTGTGTGTGTGTGTGTGTGTGTGTGTGTGTGTGTGTGTGTGTGTGTGTGTGTGTTCCTGTCTCACAAGGTGTCTTTCCGATCCATCAACGCAAAAATGTCTTGAGAGTTATGAACAATTTGAAAACTGTATTGTTCACGGCATGTCTATGAAGCATCGTGCAGGCATGTACCAACATCAAGAAAGCACAATGTACGCAGTGAAGTCATGTGAGGGAAGTAACAAACAGTACGGTATGCTTATCCGTGTTTGTATGTGGATATTATGACATTTATGAAGGAGGGCGCAAGCTCTGCAATGGCGTTTTTCACTGGATAGATGAAATGTTCTAAGCACACATACTGTTCCAATTATAATCATACAGTTCACAACTCTCAATTGTGTGAGTTACTTCGTGCATTAGCGAGGAGCATCATTCGTTTGTCATCACATAGATAAGACAGTAGTATTTAGAATATATCTTCTATCTTAGAATATACCTTCTACAATTTTATCTTCTGCTGTCGTTTCGATGAAGGCATGCTGCTAAAATATCAACTGAATTATATCTCCATTCTCCTGGTTTTTCTCCGAGGAATAAGGCCGATACTTCTGTATTATCTAGTCCCAATTATATTATACTCGATGACACACGGCGTCTGTGTTTATTTCTCACACCAGTGAAATTGTCACGACCGAGCGCAGACACAACTGAAGGAAGAGGAAAACACGATTTACGCATACCAATTCACCAAGCGATTTCTCTGTGTCAGAAATGGTTCGAATCTGACATGCTCAGCTTTGAGACAGCAGGCTACTTGTATATTCTACCTTTCGGAATTTTTCAATGAACCACATGCTAGTACAAATACGCTAGGCCCACGAATGCGTCCATGTACAACAATCCCCACTGTTGCTATGAGTTATACAGTCACTGTCCAGCGTTGTCGCCGGGAGGGGGGGGGGGGGTTCGTGACCCATCAGTGGCAGTACGCTCAGTCGTCGATCAATATCGCACAAACATATCACGCTCCGTTTGAGGGCCTAACCTTCATCACCACCGTCTTCAGTGAGTAGTGATAGCCTCGCCACGGTCTCCAATCGACACCGTCAGCGTACGACGTGTGATTACCAGCCAGATACGGCCCGTTCAGGTTGGAGGAGTGGCAGCTAGTGTACCACCAGGCACCTTTGTAGGTAACCGCGCACTTCCCAGAAGACCCATCGTGATCCCTGTCCTTGGTGCTGAAACGGTGGCTAGAGTGCTCACCGAGGCCGTCACCGGCGTCTCCGGTGTAGTTGGTCACGGTTAGACGGTAGCCGTCCGCCTCCGACGAAATCGTGAATCCCTGGTACAGCGCGTGCCTCGTCTCGCCGTCAAAGTCCTCCAGGTCCACGCGCAGCTCGAACTGGCGGTCCAACAGCGATGTCATCCGCCAGACGTGCTCGTTGCCCCACCAGTATTCAGCGCCAAGTCCTCCGAATCCCCACTTGTAGGCTTCCCAGCCGAGATAGAAGTCGCGTCGGGGCTGAATGTCTGCGCGCCGCTGGATGACGGTCCAGTTGCCGCCGTCCGTGTCCAGGTCGCAGTAGACCGGCACCGGGTGGCGCAGTCCCGGCCGCACCAGGTGCACGCCGCTGGTGGAGCCGGCAGGCAGGTCGCTGCAGTCTCGGGGCGTCCGATGCTGCGCCTGAGGACCGTCCAGCCGGGACTGCACCTCGGCGATTTGGGACCCCAGTCTTTTCTCAACACCGTCCAGCCGGGACTGCACCTCGGCGATTTGGGACCCCAGTCTTTTCTCAACACCGTCCAGCCGGGACTGCACCTCGGTGACTTGGGATTCCAGTGTTGTCTTGACACCGTCCAGCCTGGTGAAAAAAGACGCTATTACTGACATCAGGGCATCAACGACAGACGCCGACAGATGGTGCAAGGTGTTATTAACATTGACCACCGCCCGCTCCTGGCCGTTGTCACACCGGACCGTGGCCCAGAACACGGTCAGCAGGCACACGGCCGCACCACACTGGCGCAGGGACACCATCGCGCGGCAGCGGGGGCACTCCAGCGGACCAGCGAGCGGAGACGGCTGCCCACGAGCTGCACGGCGACCCGGCGGGCGTGTTTAAGTACTCCCCTGTCGTGTTGTTTACGCTGTCGGATAAACATTTAGATTTTCACCAAAAAGACAGTCCGCTTCTGGGATGGTGGAATTTCCAGGGTATAATGCCAGAGAAGTCCGCATCTGGGATGGTGGAATTTCCAGGGTATAATGTCAGAGAAGATTTAGTGAGGATGTTTACCCTTGCCGTGTTGTTGATTCTACTGTATAAACGCATAGCTTCCATCGAAAAATAGCTCGCATCTGGCATCATGTTCATGTTAACAGTGCACAACCATGAAGAAGCCTAGCGGTGAATGACCTTACAAAATTACGTAGTCCAGCAATAACAGCCATGCTCATGTTGCCACTGCCTTAATAACCGGAAGCGTGCTTTACTCCCGTAACGCAAGGTAATGCTTGCAATGCTGGGAAGATTCCTATGCTGGCATGTTGGCCTTATTTCAATGGAGGTCCTTTCCAAAGCCGAGCCTTGAAACCGCACGTGTGCATGCTATATTCACAAAATTTTGATAGAATCCAACCCACATATTTGTTCGGAAAAGAGAAAAAATGTCAACGATGTGCTCCAAACCGTTTCGGAGAAACCAGCGAGAAACCCGCCGGTGCTGAGCCACCCACGCTGGGAGTAAGGAGAAGCTTTTGAGAGTATTTGCTTGGATGAACAACTGGTCATGAACTTTCACCGGCGTTCTCCTTTTTTCCGGATGTCACCATTTCACGGAAAATTGACCTATTGCTGCGCATGGTGGGACGGTGTCGTTATCCCTCGGGGTTTCTGTGCGCCGGACCATATGACGACGATGAGGGCACCCGTGCGTCTAGAATGTGGACCCTGAAAAAAGCAAGATCCAGAAGATCTTCTAAAAAAATCTCAAAAAAATCCTAATCTTGCAAGACCCCCGACGAATTGTAAAAACCAGATCTCGAAAAACCTTCGGCAAAGTCTCAAAATAGATCCAAGATTCCAGAAGTTTCTTCGACGAAATTTCGGAAGTTTTCCTGGTTCCCAGGAACCTTCGGCGACATTTTCAAACGATCCACAATCCAAAAATATCATAAAATCCTAGATCTCAGAAGATTCTTCGACCTATCCACCTATTTTCATTGCAAGATTGTGTTAAAGCCAATTACCACACACTTTGAAAATACTTGGCATAATATATGCATCATTATGGACAGAAAATGGCGTACGACAGCCATGGCAGTGGCTATGTCGGCCTTAAGAACCAGATTTTCTGCTCAAATGTGCAAAAAGTTTGAAAAGTTGATACGCATAACCGATGTCACCAAGAAGAATAGATTTGTCATTTCCTTTTGTGACTGCTGTGGTAGTCAGCACGTGAGTTAGTTCTGCAGTATAAAAGCAAAGATTTGTTAAATGATGCTGCAAAATTCGGGCTTAAGAACAACAAAGTCTCAGAGAACTTAAGGGTTTCGGGAAGTGAAAAATTATTGAGCATTCGGGACACAAATTAAAAACTGCGAAAACCCCAAGGTCTGAAAAGATTTGCCCGAAGCGAACTTCAAAAACACCCGATTCCATCAGACCCTCCTGCAAAATCAAAAAAGATTCAGGATTTCAGATGACCCATCGACAAAAGTTAAAAATCCCAAGATCCAGAACGTATTGCAGCATTATGTTGGAAAATATCCGGCGTCTCAGAGGATCCTTCGACAAATTTACAAACAAAAACTCGGATGCTACAGGATTTTCTAACAAAATGTTAAAAAGATCCTTGATCCCAGAAGATCCCCGTTTCAGATCTAAGGGATCTGACCCCGGAATATTTGTCGGTGATAATGGCACATATATGCCTGAGGAGTTCGAAGCATCCGATCCTGGACAAGCCTTACGGTGAGGGCCGTCTCAGCAGTTGGCCTGCGGCCAGGCACGGGCCATAGGAGGGAAGCTTTCACTTTAAAGGTGACCGCTGTTCCGGGCATTTCAAGTAAAATAGTGTTATGTATTTTTAGAAGTGCGATGTGCTTGTCTGCATTCGAAAGAATGCGATGAAAGTTAGGACCGCTATCGCACACAAGCTGGAGGTGGTGTGCCGAAGGTAGCCCACCAGTCGCTACACTCGCTGATGCCAGCGTGCAATCTGCGAGGATGAAACCCGGACGCCTGTAAAGGCATCCAGTTTTGCCCAAGGAAAGATTCATGCGCCGCGATGAGGAAGCGGTGGTCCGGGTTTCTTTTCTGGATTACAGATCCAGATTCGTTTCGGTGTTTGGACGTCTCCAACGACATTAAGAATTGTTTGAGCCAGCTGAAATAATGAAGCATCACGAAGCTAAAATCGCCAAGTCTAGGCAGTGTTTTCTTAAACCAGCAGGTACGCTTTACGCCAGGGGTGAGCCCAGAATTCTGTGAGGGTGGAGACCGCGTGGAGCTCGGTAAGAACGAAATCGCGCATATTTTTAGCTTCCTTTCAGATGCCGCCTGAAAAAATGGTGAAAAATGAAGAAATCCAGGCAACCCTGCTTTATGAAATAGTTTGTAGTGTTCGATGTATGGTTGCCTTGGAGTGATGTAAACTTATCAAATATGGAGTCGAAACTTGTCAGCTCATTTCGCGTCAACGATAAAAATAAAATTGAGCTGCTCAGCGGGTATGTACATAATATGACGTCTCAGGAGGCCAAGCTGGTGCCCTTGGGGCGGGATTCAAACGGATGACTTGAGGTGAAAGCGGCTGTTCTTTCCCTAACCACCATAAATAGAACTGACTCACGCCAGGGGCCTAACAGAGTCACGGATACATGGCCCCTCGCCGCCCCCGCTCATCAACGAAGCTTCTCGTCATGCTGTGCACCGTCGTGTCGTAACACCGCACGTGGCTGTCCCACAGTTCCAGCTGTCTCGAAGCGAGGACGCGTCGCCTGGCGGCGCGGCACGCCAGCAGCAGCTCGCCCTGGTGGAAGGATTGACGACTGTCGCCAACGCACGTGGCGGGCGTGCTGCGAGCCTCGGAATCGGTAGCGGCGCACAGCTGATCGGAGGCGCACAGCAGCTGCGGCTGAGTGACCGCCGGGGGGTCTGCGGGGGGGTCGCCGCCAGCCCGTCCCAGGCGGTGACCCCGTTCGTTGCTGCGGTACGCTGGTTCGCCGCGCGCGTCGCCAGCGCCCGATCGCAGCGCCACCACGCGTCGCAGGCCGGCGGCGCGTGCGTCTAGCGAAGCGTGGCCGCGCTGCTCGCCATGAGCCGATATTCTGCGCCGTCGTTGGTTGTGGTATCGTTAGATGTAGCAGTAGCCTCTGCCCAGCAGCGCGGGGCCGCTAGCGGTGGCTGCATATACACCGACCGCCATAAACAACATACTTCTCACCCCCAGATGCACCCTCGCTTGCATGCAAACATTGATGCTTTGCACGGTTCCCTGTGGTCCGTTTGGAATTAGTGTTGAGAACATTAATTCGGCATCAATAGAACGTGGGCATCCAAATCTGAATCATTTCTGTCCGAACCCGACAACGAATATGGCTAAAATCATGTCAGGGCCCACGGGGCACCGCACTGACTGCAGCTGTCCTTTTTAGTATTTCAAAAACCCGCCCGCGCCGTGGCCCATTGTCGAAAACCCACCTCGTTCCGCAGGTAAAGTTTCCCTGAAAAGAGAGCGGGAACCCGCAGACGAAAATTTGATTGGAGAATGGAAAATTTCGCATTCTACCCAATCTTATTCTTTAAGCAAACTAGTTTATAATGCATTCACATATCACATGGGTTGCCAGCCGAGCTGATCGTCATCTGGAGACGCTGGAGATTGTGCACAGTCTCCCGGCCTCGGACTTGAAGCGTATCGACGAGGTCCGCCCGATCGCGGACCCAAAATCAGGTCAGTCACTGCCGTAGACGCGTCTCCCGCTAAGTGCATATTCATTCTGCTAAAATATGGAGGCTGGTGCACGCATTGTGTGGCAAATTCACAACCTGGCCATGCAGTGGGTAATGTCAGTTTCAATCTTGGGAGCAAAACTACTGACTGCTTGGCCAACGAAGTGGCAGTTTTGGATCAGGCCATTGATCCCGACGACTCGACCAAGGCGTGGGTAGCAACAAGTACAACACTTTGTTTGGCCCACGCCAGAGCGCGGTAACCTGCAACCAAACGTCACACCCGATGAAAGCCTGACCGAGCCAGGCTCAACTCTGCCTTTCAGCAGGGATTGGATGGAATTTAAATGCATGGACACATGGAACTCGATTCTTCGTCTGGACATAAAGTTAGAATCCTATGACATAGGCCAGACATATAATTTTATCGATTACGGATGGCTAAAATCCTCACACCAAACGAAAGCTCTTTAAGACTGCGTAGCCCTTGACAAATGTGTCATTCACCCACAATGTTATCCTTGAATCAATTCCGCACGGAATAATGTCCATGAAGCTGAATGAGGATTTACTTATCTATCATGTAGCATTTCATTTACTGAATTGGTAATCACCCTGTAACATATCAGGCTTAACACGCGCTCGTGTCGGAGGTTAATTTGCCCCAGTCCCCCTGAAGGTTATCCCGGAGTGATTCCCGAAGGTCGGTGCAAAGCCGCGCCAAATTTTGCGTAGCTGTAGACAATTAAACAATGGATCAATTGGTATCAAAAATTTACATGTATATTGTTAGGTCACCGACCTAAGGCAGGCCAAAGTCAGGTCATGGATTCAGCGAAGACAATTTTTAGGGAATAAGGAATTCAATCTGATGCAACAACGGAGTGTTACACGAAGCGATACATCTCTCTAATAGTTTCTAGGCAACACAACAATTGAATTAACCAATTGCATTGACCTAAGATAACCTATGAAGGCCAGACCAAGGTCGAAACCAACCTGTTTTGTTGCTCCAGAGCTTGCTGCATGGGATAGTTTCTGGTGCTCATTTTAAATTTGTTGATAACAGGAAACGCATCACACGTCTTCCACGGACTTCTTAAAAGGTTAGGATAGGTCACTGATCTGAAATATCCC